CGAAAAACCATTTGCGGGTTAGTAAAAAGAGTGAAAAAATAATCCAGAAATAGCTTGACAAATCACCGCAAACCGCGCTTCAATATCTACATCCGGTACCTTGTAGCAGCCGAAGTTCGACTATAAAATACCTGCAAATATGAGTAAAAATCGGGGACTTTTCCCCCTCATATCTCAAAAACGGTGCGTATACTCAATCTGAAATTTTATTATGTGTAAAGGGTCACCCTATAGATGAAAAAATACCTCACACCGACCCCAATTTCGAGGGCCCAAAAACGGGCGAATTTTAGCCCTTTTTGTGCAAGGCTCTTTCCTCTGACAAATCACTAATTTTCGGGAAAATTTTTGAATATTTTTCTGAAAATTTTTCAGATAATTTTTTTCGTAATATGATAGAAAGTGTCTGAAAATTTCAAGGAAAAATATTCATAAATTTCCTCAAAAATAAACATTTTATCGAATGAGACCTGGCAACCCTCGAATGTCCATACGGCGTCCTGCCTTAGCACGGCAGTGGAGGTGGGCGCATTTCCCTTAAATGTATGCACCAAACTCGGGAAAAAACAAACAGTTGGACTTCGGGCAAGAGAAGTGGCAATTTAAATCAAATTTGTGTCCAAGCCGTTCACTATGTTTATTGATGACAGCGTGACAATCAGACTGCACGTAATTTGCTCCTTGTAATTCCGGCGATCGATTCAATTTCTGGTCCGACAACTCTTCGCATCAATACCTACGGTCAGAAATATTTCTGAACGGTGCAATCCGTTTCCTTTAGCACCCATGCAAACAGTTTATACAGGGATTGACTATTACTTGAGGTGAATTTTAGGACTTTCATTCTTATCACATAAACTGATAAGTTCCTAAGAGGAGCAAGGTCTCTGAAGTATTGATTACGAATTCAAACCATTCCTCAGAAAGTATCGGGATAGGATAGTAAGGGGACAAGGTACCAGGTTAAATTCAGTTGCTGAAATTAACACTGGTAAAAAAAACCTCTTGGACCAATGCCGCATTGCATTGACTTAAGAGTGACGTTTCTTGTCGCCGGATTTAAGAGTCTTGAACTCTTGTTTCAAGCGGATTTTGCATTGAAACAAGAGTCCAGACTCTTAAATCCGGCAACAAGAAACTGCACTCTTGAACCAAGAGGTTTTTTTTACCAGTGAAGGTCGCAGCTCAAGCTTTTTTTGGAACTCTCACTCCCGAGGATTTCGCAAAAACGATTTTGGTCGAATGGGAAAAACGCTTGCGTCTGTGCGTTAAAGCTGGAGGAAAGTACTTTGAAAAAGGAAGAGGAAGCTTAGAATTGTTAGATGAGGAGCCATAAAGTATGTAAATTTCATTAGAAATATTATTTTGTTCGCATTTCGTTTAATACACGCATCTAATGTTTAAACTTTGTTTGTTCGTTTTTTTCCCCCTGAAAAAAGTCCTAAAATCTTGGAGGGGTCCACCCAACACGTCTCCGAAAAAACGCTGTATCTTGGTTAATTTTTGACGAAATGAGCTCAACAAGGGCTCGTTTTGTAGCTAATGAGTTGATCTAAAGAAACCCGCACGGAGAAAAAAACTTCGCACGTGGGACCCGAAGTTTAGGTCATGTGGATCTCTGAAGTTTTGGGATTGAGCATCTGAACACTTAAGCTCTAGCTGCCGAAGTTCAGGTCTGACATCTGAAACTTCAGTTCTTACATCTGAAGTACTTCGGATGTGAAAACCGAAGTTTTTCGGATGTGAAAACCGAAGTTTCAGATGTGTGATCCGAACCTCGACAGCTAGCCCTTAAGTGTTCAGATGCTCAATCTGAAAACTTCAGAGATCCATAAGACCTAAACTTCGGGTCCCACGCACGAGGTCTTTTTTCCGTGCGCAAACCGCAACTTGCTAGCTTTCTTTGTTGGCTTAAACGGTGTACTAATGCGAAACTTTTGGGACAGCCTTTAAAGTTGCCCCCGAACCCTGTCTCTGACAACCCCTTCAGAAACGGAGATGCATTCACCCGAGCTGGGATTCAGACGCGGTGGCAGCGACCACCATTAGAAATTACGTCGACGGAAAACGATTCGCACCATCAAACAAATACCGATGGAGTCCGTGACCGCACTGTGTTAATTCTCACGCCAATTACGTGCTCGCTGCGCACACCGCTTCGTTCTGCTCTTTAATCATTCATTCAGCCTTCCGACTCGGTTGCCTCGCCGTGCTTCCGATCGTTCCAGCCCCGTCGCATCGGACCGCAATATTTCTGCAGTTCGGCAACAAGCGCCGGCTCCTGGTTTTTTGTTTGTTTCTCTCGTCTCCTGCTCCTTTGAGGTGTAATTACTCTACCCTCTTTCCGGTCCCGGTTCCTCCTCCGGAGAAAGAAATCCGCGAAAAACCCGCGAAGAAATCTGCATAAGGCCCATTAATTATTTGAATGTGTTCGGCAAAGAGGGACCCACTTCTCTTGGCAACGAGAAGTTGGTCCAAGCACTCATCAGCAGTGCTCCCATTTCCTGGAACTGCTACCGAATTTCGAAACTTTTGATAGTGTATTCCTAAATTTTTCCAGGAACTTTTGAAATTCCGGAAATTTTCCGGATTTTTTGGAATTTTCCGGAACAGCCTCTGGTTTTTTTAAAAAAAAAATCTAAAAAGAATCATGGAACTTTTGATGCTCATATAGTGGGAGAAATTGGAAATTTTAGAAAAATCAATCGAAAAATCCATTATCGAAATCGGAGGCAACATATTCTACAAACTCTGCACTAACAATCTAACCAATAATGTGATTAGGAGAGGAAAAAGTCAAGTTCAGAGATTAAAGCAATTTTTCGCCTAATGATGATCAGTGAGCAACTTATTGAGTATAAAATTCGCCCAATGATGATTGAGGAACGTCACGGAATGCACTTTTTAAGGTAAGTTACTGCAAATCAAGTAAGTTTTGCTTACGCATTGCTTTTACACTTTGGTCATCAGTCATCATAGAACGAATCTTCGCAGCCGAGCATACTTGTCCCATTATAGGGGAGGTATCATTCTGAGACCTCAAAATGAACGTATTTCTACCAAATAGAACTATGTGCAAGTGGGAAAGATAGAGTGTGCTCATGAAAGAAGCATAAGAAGCAATGTTAAAGTGGGCGTGATTCCCTCTGGAGAAATTGGCGGTATTTTACATGCTATCAAACGGAACTATGTGCCAACTGAATGCGGCACTCGTGAGCCATGAGCATGTGACAAGGGCGTTATGGACAGGGCTCATGAGTTAATGACTCCCACACGAAAGCCGCAGCTGACGTCACTGGCGCTTTATAATTCCCATTCATTCTTACGGCCCTTGACTTATGAGTACACCCCTTCTTTCCCACCTGTCTCTGGTTCCGTTTAGCAGAAATACGTTCAAATATTCTCTCATTAATTAAAATGGAGCAAACAGTTTCTAGTCCTGCGAGATAGTATTCTTTTCAGCAGATTAACGAACTTCTTCCCGATAAAGGGGTCAAATTCCTATGGAGCATTTATTTGTGTAAATCATGCCCGAATTCGGATATGAATGCAATGAACGAATAGATGGGGATGAATAGATGGAAGCTCCAAGGACGATCCTAGTCCAGACGACGGGGGCGGCGAAAATCGCGGCTGAGCGTACCGTACGATGGAAACAGCGCGGAAGACAGAGCAAGAAAATATTTAGAAAGTGCCCGATCGCGAGCAACTTAATCGCGACGAGAAAAAAGCGGGAAAACAAAAAAAAGGGGCAAAATTACCCGGCGGAAGACTTTAATAGCCCACCCGCACCTCCCGCGCACCGCGCTGCGGCCCATCCCCACGCGGAGTGTCGCGGCGCGCGCGAATTTCGGCGGCAAAGCCCGGAGGCGTCTAGTCCGTCACGTAAACCCGCGGATTCCGCACGACGACGTAGCGTAAGAGGCCCCCGCCCCGAAGCAACGGGTTAATTAGGTGCCCTATCCGCTCCGGGTGAAAACAAGGAAATTGGACGGGGGTAACGAGCGCCCCCCCCCTGCCCCTCCGCGACGAGCCCCGGGGGCTCGTGGAAGATAAAGGAGCCTACACCTGCGTACACACTCTCAGTCGCGTCTTCACGTATTGACCTGGATATCGGGCGGCTGGGTGGCAATTTATATATATTGCGCCCGAATTATGATTATGTTTTCAGTCGGTGTCATCTCGGCTCAGTCTCCGTACAGCACAGTGTAGTGTCGCAGTCTTGCCGGGCGGTCGCGTGTGGTGTGCATGGTTTAGCGTCGTCTCAGTCGTTCAAGTGCATCGAGATGATTCCGCTCAGAGGGTTCGTGGTTCTGATTTTTTGTGTGAACGGCCTTTACGGCCTGCATTTGGTGGACAGTGCGAGTTTGGCCAATAACAGTTTGCAGAAGCAGGACCAGGAGGCCAATAGTGTCGTGCCTCAGGAGGACCCGGATAAGGCCAACTTGTCGAGCGATGTCGTCAAGCAGGTACCATCATATTCCTCTTGCTTCTTTTGAAAAAGGCACATCTATAGCTACGGGTCAAAGGATCGTGACGGACAACGAAAGTTTGTCCCTTGATGTTGAAAGGAAATGCTTCCATAATTTGGTGTCCGGCTTGTTGTTTTAACTTCGGAACTTATTATGTGGATAGAGTTTGGAGAAGAGAACCAAGCCTTTTTTGAAAAGCAAGAAATCTGCTCATTAGTTGCTTGGAAAAACACCGCAAGTATTATTGTGCAATTCCTTTCTTTGAAATGAATTCATCGATGAGGAGTCCGATAGGGGACAAACTTTGCACTTGGTTCCTCTCTCTTATATGATATAGCTCTTTTCGAATGCAGAATTGGGGAACCATGTTCTTATAAAGTTAATAAGAATGATAATTTCAAAAACAAACATAAACTTCACGGCCAGGAAGATAGGAACAAAACTCTTGTAGTTTAATAAAATTGAAAGTCATTTTGAGAAATAAAGGTGAAATTTTGTAATAAGCAGATCCCTTGTTTTTCACGAAACTTTCCTATTTACTAAATTCAATCCCATTTCTTCATTGATTTCGGATACAACTGAAAGTTTATTCACATACATCATCCTGATTGGGAAAATTCAAAGGTCAAAAATTCAATATGTATTGATAAAAGTTTTAGATAGAAGACAACAACACACAAAATAGCCCAAAATCATGATGATTTCAAAACCCCAAAAAATAGTTAAAAACCGGTTAAAAACACCCCTAAACTTCCCAAGTAGTTTTTTTTTCTTTATCACAGCCGCGGTTTTCCACTTTTTCGTTTATTTCTTGTGATATGTTAGTCTCGGTTCTATGTCCCTAACTTTTTAATAAACGATAAATTTCTAGTAGTATTCTTCTTAAAGAAGCACCTCTCAATGGGCTTTCATCAACGCAGCGATATACTCCTCTTCAATGACTCCTGAGCTTAAAGTGCTAACAAGTCCTAAAGTTCAAGCTTTGACCCCTCCATGACAGAATTACATACTTGAGTCCATAACACCTGCATTTAAGGGTGATCGTTTGAAAAGTTAAGGAAAACAACCTTAACTGGAGTTAAAAAAAATTGTTATAACGTTAAACTTAAACTAAAATGTTTAGCCGCAGAAAGGAAAAGGTTCAACCCCTTATAATCATAATTTGGTAACTTCTCTACTTTTATTTACCGGTCTTCTAAGGCAATGAAAGCCCTGCTTCGGTCAAGGTATGACTGCAGAGTTTGATCTCACAAGAGGAGCGTTTTGATGTTTGGAACGTTGAGGAACCGTCTCAAGGTGGAAATTAGAATCTAGTCTTGGTGGATACTCAAAAGCACGTAAAATTCTATTATGAGGTCATTTGAAGTACCCAGTTACGTCCCTTACAGTATGAAGAGGGGATCATTGGGTTAAAGCTATCTTCTTTGTTGTGTGAAGTTTAACTGTCAGAAATTTCTGTCCATTTCGTCGTTCCTCTGGCGTTAGGGCGTATCTCAATTTCCAAAATTTTTCCTGTTCTTCGTATTACTCCATGCTTTCTAGGACACATGTGGAATTAGAGATACTCCCTCACGTCAAAGGAGCGAAGATTTTTGCCCGATTGAACGTTGAAAAGTTTCACCGCTATCGATACATAAGCCATCAAAGTTTCAAATTTAAAAGAGCAAACTAACCTAAAAAAGCCGAGAGACAGATCTTGCGATGTTCTAAATGGTAAGAAAAATACTTTCATTCATCCGAGTAAAGAGGTTATCTCACACTTCTCTCAAGGAAGTAGCGGTAATATTATTCTTTCCACGAAGAATTGGTTTTCTTCAGGAAGGGATGTCCCCTTTTCTTGTCTTGACTATAATTTATCTCTCAAGGTTGTCAACCGCGCTGTTGTTGAGAATGCGTAAAAAAACGGGGTTTACCTTTTCAGAATTGCCTAATTTTCCTAAGAATTAAGGCCTATGGAATGAAGGAATTGTACAGGCAAAAAATAACAAACACTGTAACTTCATGCTAACGATGTTAACATTTCTAAGCCGTTTTCACGCATGTGAGTTCATCGTGACTTTCTACTTGAACTGAAGATATCATTCCTGAATGTGACTAAAGTTGGATTTTAAACTCTGCATTTGATTGGGATTCGGGGATTTGATGATCAACCTCACTAAGAAAAAGCTATGGCTTTTGAACAAATTAGTGGTTCATTTGAAACACCACTAATAGTAGTAAAGGCAACGCATAATAATAATAGTACATATACCTTGGTGATGGTATGTATACTTATTTATTATGGTTCACAGAACGAGAATCATTGGTTCATTTACGACTATTAGAGGTGTACCCTATGAACCACTGATCGGTTTATTAAGTCATGGAGAACCGTAGACTGTAAGAGTCTTTTCCATGCACCCTTGATTTCTCCACCTTGCTCTCAACCGAGTTACACGTTCAATAACCTGTGAAAATGTGTATTTCGCGGAAGAAACCAAGGGTGTCACTGCCGCGGTGGATGACTTCATACACCGAATTTTTCAAAGCGCGATATCTTGGTCAATATTGAACGTAGAAACTTGCTGTTTGGATAGATCTTAATATTTTTAGCTAACATACGAGACCCATTGAGAAACGATGCATGCGTCATCATTTTCTCTATGCGAATAAAGGCGGATAAACCAGAAATAGTATTTCGTTTCTGAAAAATGTAGTCCATTTATTACGAAATTAAAGTACTCGAGAGACTTTAACGCGCGGGTAGAAAAGAAAGTGGTCTTAATTGTGTTTTTGTTTGTTGTGCTGTGTTGTGAGCCAGAAATAATGGATCCTCATTACAAAATTCAGTCTAAATAGACCTCAGTCCATGGAGTTTCAGTACATCTGGTGAAACGTTTTTTGTCGAACTCTGTCGAATAATTGGATCATGATATTCAAATTTTGGCTGAAAACTTGCTTTGATATCTAAGAGAGTAGGTTGCAAGTGGTAGTTCATTTTTGCTGCTGAGTAAAGGCGTAAAGTTCCATTTTAACACACACAAAAAAACTTAGTTCACTGTGAAAATGCAGCAAAAATAAAACACATAAAAAACCGGGACGTTTCGAGTTATGAAAACTACATTTTTAAAGCAATTGCGGTTTGGCAACAACAGTGGTTCATGACTCATTTTTCTTTGTTTTCCCATTGCGTTTAAATGTTTTCCCTTCTTTCTTTTTGCCGGCTGAAAATGATCCTTGAAGACGCCCCAATTTTTATAATGTGTTTTATTTTGTAGCCTTACCTGGAATTGACTTTAACGTGAATTTTGAGCTAATTGAATTTTTTATCGTCGTGGGGATCATAATTCAGCAATTTCGCACCCTCAACGTGGTAGATCATAATTTTAATTGAATTTGTTCCAAAATTTCGGGTTTTGAACTTAAAATACATCAATTCACCATGACTTCGGTTTACTTTGCAATTTTTGGGGTTTTATGTCCCAATTTGTTCATCGAATAATCCTCTTTGTCCTGGCACTTACTTAATCTTAAGTTTTGTGGTCTATGAGGTCCTTAATGACAGGAAACATATTTCCGCGCGTGAATATGTTCAACTTTCAAAGCAGGTCTGCGGGGTTGCAAACCAAAAGAAAAAACACTTTGCTGAAGTCAAGAACTTATCTGATGCCTGATGAGTTTTGGCTAACCTTTGCATCCATCCATTTTTGAACTCAACTCTGGGGGTGAGTCGAGAATTTTGGATACGGTCTCCATCGCTGCCATGCAGCATAAAAACCAAAAAGTATACGCACCGTCGCCCGGAGGGCATTTCGTTTTGTTGTGAGGGTGGTAGTAAATCAAAAACTTCAACCAAATCCACTCGCGGAAATTTGACTAAAGAAAGTCACAAGTTGGTGCAATGCCAGGACAAAGGCAATACATTTTAGAAACTTTGCCCTGCAATCTGCTCTAAAATGCAAAAGTTGCGTTTGAAGTCAACGCTCAGATTTGCCCCATGATGACTGATTACCAAAACGTTGAGGCATTGGTTTGGTGAACCCAACCTAATTGGTAAAACTCGCCTGCGCGCTGATTGTGAAAATTGATGGACAAAGCTATAGGCAAGGAAGACAAAAAGGATATGAAGGGATCATATTGGTGGAAGCGGGTGGTTGCAATGGACGAAGGAGGTAGATAATAGATGAACTAACGGCAACTCACGGAAGACCCCTCAGTTAGTCCATCATTTTCTCCCTTAGTCTATAAGAGCCACCCATTTCGACCAATAGGATCGCACTCATTATATCCTCCTTGTTTATCGCTTTGTCTATCAATTTCAACAATCAGGCCGCTGGCAAAAACGCTCGACATGAAACAAGCATCGAGAGGCGAAATGAATGCGACAGTAAACTTGCAAATTAATGGCGAATCAGCCACTGACAATTATCACATTTTTGAGATCTTGCAGAACGCGGCTATCTTCCCTGTAGTGAATAAGTTTCTACCGGAAGTCAACCCTCCTAATGATGCATGGTGGCCAAATGTTAAGCAATTGGTTTAACAACCCTTGCCTAATTTATAACAATTTGTCGAGTACAGTGCGGATTCCGACAATTATCGGTTATCATTTCGTGTTTTTTTTTTCTTTTGTGTTCAGCAAGTTACTCATCAATTGTACTATATTTTGCAATTAGGAGCTACAGTTTTTGGCTCATCCGTAAAAGCACGTGAGTGCACAGAAAGACTAATAGTACGTAGGTTGTTTCTAAACTGAGCCTATAAGTGTAGTTGAACTGAAAAATGAAGTCTAATCATCAACAGTCGAAAAGTAGCATTCATTGCCGAATTTAAGTTTGCCCCATCCAATTACATCGCTAAAATTGCAGTGTAGAGTATCTAAAATATGGACTACATTTTGCAATTAGGAACTATACAATATCTGGCTCAGTTTATAAGCAATGTATCTACTATAGTATCCCTTATCAAATATGTGTTTTTGCGGATGAGCCAGAAATTGTAGTTCCTTATTGCAAAAT